AAAGCGGTTTCCTTCCTAGAATACTGACGCTACGATAAATCAGCCCTGCCAACCTCCCACCTCAAAAAATCAGCCCGAGGACAAGAGGCAGAAGGACCTGCCGGGGACTGTGGCTTTAACAAAACTTGAAACATCCCCTGATCTGCAAAATACGTAAAACCCTGCAAGGAAGGAGTGAGCAAAGCTACCAGCGCAGATGGGGGCGAGACCGAGGGCCAGCACTTGGCTCCTCTGAGCTTGTAGAGTCCTGGTGGTCTCTGCCTGCCCACAGCCCATGTGCCCCGAGCCCGGTAACGCACGGCGGCCACTGTGCTATGGGTGCTGAGTGAATCGGTGTGAACACCCGTGCACGTACGTATGTGCGTACACTGCAGCCCCCTAAAGAGGGAATCCAGCCACAAATCACTTGAACATTTCTTGAAAGACTGATTTCATCATTCGTGTTCATTAATTTGATGAAACTAAACCAAAGCCACCTAACGGCCCTGTGCGCTCTGCCCATTTCCACTGTTAAAGACTTACAGCTTAATATGTGCTGCTCTCTTCAAATGTCTGCTTTTTTTTCAGTGTTTTAGACCATGGCACAGGTTTCCTGAGATTATCAAATGAAGGAGAGCACAGAGTGAAGGAAGTGCTATTAAAAGGGTCCAGCCCCTCATCACTTTGATGACAGTGCAGGGGATGAGGTCACATCTTTTCTACCAAGAAGAGCAAGACTGAGTTTTACTTTCGTCTTGACAATATCTTCTCTCTGTAAAGACACAGCTGAGAAATCAACACAAGACTCAATTCTTGCAAACTTCCCCCAAGTTTCAGTGCCGAGAAGCGGCACAGACGCTGTGAAGAACTAGAGCAGGACCTGTGCAAACCTTTTCAGTGTTGTGTTGGTACCTGGAATGGTCCTTCTTGGCCGTACGCAACTCTTCGATGATCTTCCTTCCTACTGTAGAACTGCACAATTAACCAGAGTGGCATTTTTCTGATTTAACAGTGGAACACAACTCATTCTCAAAGATCATGCAACCTTGCCCACCTCTCACTCACCAGGAGGTGAAGGTGGAGCAGCTCAGGCCAGGAGGCTCTGATGGAAGCAATGCAGCACCAGGAACCCTGACGCCCAGCATCAAACATCTCAATGTCAATGAAACCTGAGGATGGGCAAGCTTCAGAGGAGAGCTGCTTGGTAATTCTAGTAAAAGCTCGATTCTTGTTGTATCCCTGCAGCAGACTACAGTCATCGGCACAACAGATGCTGTTGTAAAATTTAAAAGTTAAAAAAACCCAAAACATGAAAGCATTTGTACACACCAAGATGCAAACGTAACTCTGTTCAGCTTCGTACTGCTGGCTCGTGTCGCAGTGCGCCGTTCTACCCTACAATCCAGAACAGGCTCCACCGACAGCGACTCCAGACCTGCCTGGAGCAGGGAGTGAAATGCAAAGAGCAGCGGGCAATGCTCCCTGCGCGGCAGCGAACACGTCTGCTCCTTCCTCGCGCCCCGGTCCTGATCTGCCTGGGCACATACAAACCACAGCGGGAGTTTTAAGGTGGAAGTTGCATGGCTGCAGCACCCCACTACATGGGAAAATACAAATGTCAGCAGGTGTGGCCAGACAGAGCAAGGGGACACCGCTCTCTCAGTAAAAACACTCAACTTTTAGGACTGCAGTAACCTGCAGTGTTCTCTTTTATTTTCTATTTTTAAGAGTTCCATTTTTTTTGCTAGCTCTCCTTCCTTCACCGTTGCAGAACTCCATATATTGACAACTCCAGCAGAACTAGAGCTTACAGAAGTGGCCCACCACCAGAGCCAGGGGGAAGTCACCTTCACCAGCCTGCCGTGGTGCCCGAGGTGTGAAGATGACACAGAGGCACGGCTGGAGGTGTGGCAACACCACAGTGCCCACACAGTAGCTTAGAGGTGGTCAGGCAAGTCAGCATACTCCAAATTGCTCCAGCTCCACAAATAAATATGCAAAAGTAGGCGGCAGTTACATTTGCATGTGTCAAAAGAGCCGAAAGAGCCAGAAGAGAAAGTCTTTCCAGTCATTTAGCATGAAATGTTTGTGTCTTCTTATCGCATCAAAACCCTACGTTAGTCTTAGTACTGGTTTACAGGAAGTTTAAAAATGATCAGACATCCACACCTTTTGTTTCATGTATATCATTACACAATAAAAGGGAAAAAATGCGGCACAACTTTAAAGGTCCTATAGAACAGTAACGCAAGTTGCAAACTGTGCTTCACATCTGTTTTCTAGTGGCATTTCTGCACGTCCCAACAAGGAGTTACTGCACTTAATAGAAGGGACCACATGAATCATTTCATCATAGAAAGAAGAGCAAAACTCTCAACATTGCTCCGTTTGCTTAGTTTTTATGCGTTGATCAAAATGCATTTTATGGTTTTATTTTAAATTTAAACTACTAGATTTTTTTTCTTTTTCAAATTAGGTTTATGTTGCTTTTTTTTTAGTCCAGGAATAACAAAATAACATTACAACAAGACACCACCTCTCCCACCCCGAATGCTTAAGGGACTTAAATTAGTTGTTCTGCAGAACAAGAATCTGATTTACAAAGATATTAACTAGGCACTGTTCTAAGCAGCAAGAATGAAAACTCATACGTATAATGCCAAGCAGTCTCCTCAGGTTTGTAAGAAAACAAGAGAACATAAACCAGAGACACTATCTTAGATTACTATATATAAACCACTTAAATGATACTACAACATAAACATAACTTTAAAAGAAAATCATCACTGAATGCATTTATCAACATTGTATTTAAAATATTATATTTCCAGTTTCTTCCATACAACTTCTCTCATTCAAATATAAACCGATAACCTCCTAAATAATGGAATGCTACTTTTATGCAGCTGTTAAACATCTGTATAATTTTTCTTCTAAAAAGAGGGCAGGCAGATTCAGTGCCATGTGGAATTCTTGTTAGCAGGTGTATTTTTTTTTGCCGGTGGTCCATCTCGAGAAAAATACCACAAGCCTTTTGAAATATCAGGAAGTATCTCTCACGGCAAATTCCTTTTTTAGATCTGAATAAAATATACATCAGAAACTTGCAGAAACAGAATTTGGAAGGAAAAATAAAGCTAATGCTAAGTAGATCTGGTGTGTATTCATTTCGAACGAACTCGGTTTACAGACCATTTTACATGTCAAAGGAATTATTAGGATCAAAAGAAATGTAACTATAAACATTGCACCCCAACTGCTTCAAATCTGAGCTTCAGAGAACTTCACAGACACCAACCTGAACGCCATCAAGTACAGAGCGGAAGAGAAGCCAAGCTGAACTAAAACAAACACTTTCTTCAACAGAATCCAGCATTTGCATTTTTTCACACTGCTATATTTTTGAGATTCTAGCTTTGCGACAGCATCTTAAACAACTGATGGGGTGACACGGCGAGATGAAGGCTGTCACTTCCAGGACGCGTGGAGGGGAAGGGACGTTTCTCAACGTCTACTACACAGTTAACCTTGACTACAAAGCAGTAAGCTAATAGCTCCAGCTTCTCCTCATGGCTCTTTGCCTGTTGTCTGTCCACTCTTTTGAAGAAATACCGAATATTTTAATACCCCTCTTAAGGGGCAGTAACACCCTGCAGCGTGAGCTGAACACTCGTATACCAGGAAAGCAGAAATCTCTGAGGGATGTAATACAACCACTGCGAAGCCATCGAAGCCTTCTACAGCTGATGCTCAAAAACTCAGGCTTTGGTGGGGATATTCTTAAAAGGCAGCAAACAAAACAGTTAACATACGGCAGCTTTGGATTTAGTACCCATCACCTCCATGGCAGCACTGATCTTAACAGCAACGTACTGAATTTCATTTTAACCAGAGCCCCTTGTCCTTCTCTTCTTAAAGTGCACTTCTGTAAAAATTGAAAATCTTAAGCAGACTCAAGTTTGATAAACCATTTCCAGTAACAGCACAGCACAAAGCTTATTCTCCCAGCGCTTACTGGAGAAGGAATCTGAAGATGTGGTGTTTTTCCTGGTGGGGAAAAAAAAAACAAAACAACAAACCCCAAAAGAAAATAAGCCCAGTTTTCTGTTCAAAACTCATGAAAAAGAAAGCAGAGTAACACATGAAAAAGAAAGCAGAGTGTGCTATAAGAAAGCTGCCTACGGACTGGGAGCACAACGAAATTTATACAGATCTCTATGCTGTGCTCTAGTTAGAAATTCATCCTTGCTCAGACATCTAAAGGATAAATGTTATCCTCAGACTTCTGTGTAAACCCACATAATCGTTTAAGGCTTTGCCTCCTTCCTGGATTAACTATTGTACAGGTAACAGAAAGAGTTTCACCTCCTGTCCTTTACCCAGGGGGAATATCGACTCTCCTGCCGTTATCTCCAGTGTGTGGCAAGAAGTCACCCAACAGTTGTGTTTCCAGAGCAGCGTCGCTTCAAGTAACGACAAAGATGGAACTGACTCCAGTAGACGGAACCGAGCGTCTAAACACCGTGAAGAAGCTGAACTTCCAGTTAGAAGGTTAAGTCAACTCTTATCAGACAGAGCACAACTCCTTTTACCCAGCTGAAGAGAGAGTCGCCAATCGTTTGGACTGGCCATCGTGCTGAGAAGAGGCGAAGCAGCGGACCATGCTCCTCGGCATCATGCTGGTTACTCAAGTGACCAAACACACAGAGCTCGACAGAAAAGCGTAGTTTGGGAGGCAACACCGCCACGCGAATATGAAACCTGTTAGCTGTCAACAACAACAAAACAAACCGAGGGGCTGGGGTTGTCTCGCACGGCAACGGCAACGAGCGTGAACCAGATACGTGGGAAAACAAAACTACACAATATGAATTCCCCATGTCATTCTATGTATAAGCCCATTTGTCTCTGTACACACTCTTGTGTAATGGGTACAAGAAAGCTGAAGGGGCAGGGGAGTGGAAGTGAGTTTCTCTTCCCTTGCAGTGCCTCCGCTTTCCTGACAGCAGCACTTCGGCTTATCACTGCTCGTTAGTGCCCTCTGTTGCATCTGATGAAGACTTGTCTGTTTTCTTCGATTTCCTCTGCAGTTGCTCTTGTTCCTTCTTCCGAAGCTTTTCCCTTTGCTTTTCCATTTTCTCTTGAGCTTTGCGAGCTTTCTCCAACGATGCCTTCATTTCCTTTAGCTTTTTTTTAACGATTGCTCTGTCCTGGGAAGACGTCATACCAAGAGCCTGAGGTGGGGAGAATAAAATTAAAAAAGAACTTCATACAGTGTAATCTATCACATTTTTTTAATTTCTATTAACGACTCTTCTTAGGTAGAAGACTATAACAACCAAGCAAATCTGAGACAGACTCAGATACATCACTGATGTGTAAGTAATACACTTCTGGATTACTCACCACATCTTCCATTTCTAGAATACTAAAGAATTACATCTCACTGCCATCACTGATGTTGGTTTCATTGATCAAGTGAGGCAAATAAAGCTTACACTATTTGCCTGAAGTCACCTAACTCTCTATATAGAAGATTTCCCAATTCTCACTGCTACGCCTTAATCAGAAGTTCACTTGCTCTCTTCTAGAACTTCCTAGAGTTAGTGAAACGTCCGCAAAACAGTTCAGAAAGGGAACACCAAACTTGGTCAGAGCTGCTGAGCCTCCCACAACTCCTTCCTGTAATTATTTTTGACAAAAGTAGGCGCATATTTTCATTACAAGAAATGATGCATACTTTATATATCAGAACTGTATTTAGTGCTAACATAGTATATATCAAAACTGCAGCTCTAACATAGTACAGCTGATCAGCTTAGGCCTCCAAGTGACCCACTAATACATTTTTCAGTTGCTACGTCTGATGTCTATTTACTGTCTTCTCTGAGTCACTCTTGCACAAAAAAAGAGCGGGATGAGAAATATGTGCCCGCAAATACCACTTATACATGCAAATGTGGGCACAGTATACACACCCAAGAGTTTTGCAGAGCAAATGCCTTCTATTTCTGAAGCTTCTGAACCCAAATGCACACAGGAACTTCCTACAGTGTTGCTGTGGCTTTGTACTCTACATTTACTATTCTAGACTATCACCACTCCGCACAGAGGGTTTTACTGCTTTCTGGCCCGACTCTTACTTCCTTCAAGATTACACAAGCGACAACAAATACCACAGTTAGTCTGGAAGTCATCAGTCAGTTACCTTGAGCTTACTCCCATCCAGCTGGAGGAGATGTTCCCCGTTAATATTCTGGGTGCTGAATTCGGAAACGTACTGTTCTAGGTTCAGGCTCATCAACCAGTGGGACACCTGCTGCACGCTCCACTCCTGAACAGCACGGCTCTGACACTGGCTGTGCTTAGGAGACTGGCCATCGTCAAGGATCTGGGACAAAACCAAGTTGCATTATTACTAAAAGGGTAACACAGACAAGGAACATTTTTCTGTGCAAATCGCAGCGCGGGAGCAGAGGTATCTGTGCAATTTCTACACTACAAAAATAAAAATTGCACACTGCTGTATTACACCTGTATCTAAGATATCTAAGAATTGGTACAAGGTACCCCCAAATCTTCTATCTGTAAATAGAAGAAGAAAAAGGAACAGGCATTCCTTTTAAGGAAATGGCCAGGTGGAACAATTCAGAAGAGGTCTGCTCCCCATTCTTCGAATTAGAACATTGCTAAAGGATGCAATGAATACTGCATTTCACTTCCTGGGCTCATTCACCGATCTTTACGATGCATTTAAGTTACAAAACAAGAAATTCAGGGGGGAAAACACCAAACTGAACTGAGAGAACCACTCAAGTTCAAAGTGATGACACGAAACAGGCAGCGAGACCGACACTCCCTATGGAAGAGCACAGGATGACACAGAGGAGCAGTGAGGAACACACAGCAATCCCGCGGCCCTGGCCCCGCTCGCACCCCGCGGGGCGGCTGCTATGGAGAAGAGCCCAGAGGCAGCCCCAGGAGGGGCCAGTGGGGGTTCAGCTGCTCAGCACGCCATGGACCTGCTCAGCCACTTTATTCCACCAGCCAGCGCGGCCTCATACAGAAGCTGCTCCATCCCAGGTGTGGTCAGCAAAGCAGCTGCTACAGGCGGCTGTCGGAGCGGTTTGTACGCCGGGTTAGGTGATGCTGGGAGCTCTCTCAGCTTCTGGCTGTCCAGTTCTCAGGGCAGGGGAGTACATGGTTTAAGCACTGTTTTCCTTCTCCTATCTCCAGCAGGAGCTCAGTGCAGTTGACGCTTGGCTCCACACTAACCTGCCTCCCCCTTTCAGCGTATGGCAAACCCTGCAATTTGCAGTGGCCTTGGAAGCTCTTAGAATCCTAGAATGTCTTAGGTTGGAAGGGACCTTAGAGATGATCTAATCCAACCTCACTGCCCTTAACTCGACCAGGTTGCTCACGGCCTCATCCAACCTGGCCTTGAACATCTCCAGGGAAGGGGCAGCCACAGCCTCTCTGGGCAGAGAGAAGAGGGGAACTCAAGACAAGGAGAGAGGAGCCGGTGACATCTGCGTGTTCTGCTCGATCAAGGGGGTTTGCCACACAACGCCATAAAACAAGAAACGGGAAGGTGCCCACGAGACGATACACTGCCATGCGACGGTCACACGATTCACCACAACAGCACACTAGTGTCTCACCTCATCATCAATCATATCCAGGCTCTGAGTGAGGGAGCAACAAAGAAATGAGAAAGAAGAGCATTATAGAAACAAAATACAGACACATGTAACAGCATGTAAAAGTCCAGGCAAGGGCAGCACCGAGATTTGCAAACAGATATGGCTACTCAAAACTAAAGAGATTTCTATTAAAAAAAATTACTTCCAGAAGCAGAGAGGTTATGTTGAAAGCTCAGCACACAGATGATTTGGCAGCTCAACCTGAGACTGTGTCAATGAAACCCTCTCGGAGTTCCTAGTCTTGACACCCTGGAATCGGTACAAACCTTCCACGTAGCTCCAACTCCAAGAGCAAAAGCTCCTCAATTGGAGAAGAACAACCTGCAAGAACAGGGTTCCCTCCACATCCTTTCATTTTTTTTCATCTCCTTTAAATAATCCCATCAGGTCTGCCAGAGAAGCCCGAGTGAAGGAGTGCTCGCAGCAATACGCAATGAAGAGCAACGCCGGCGTAATCCCCTGCCGAGGTGGTTGGGGAGCTCTTGCTGGACATGCTGCCAGCAGAGGACGGAGAAAAAAACATTGATTTTTATAGACTTGCTCAAGCTTTATATTTTAGAAGCGACAGAGATCTGAACAAACAAATCAAAAGCGCTTTCCAACTTCCAACACCGCTGGGAACGGGGCATTTGCCCCAATCAAACGCGTAATAGAAGGGGAACGACACGTGGCAAGAGAACGAAATGTATTGTCAAGATAGTATTAATAATTAAAGTGTAAATTATGACTTTGTTGTTTTCAGTAATTTGCAAAATATACAGACCTGTCTGCACACTCCTGTGATTATTATAAATTATTGCCTTGTATTATCTGCAGTAAGTAACCTCTAAAGACGGTTGGGTTTGCAGATTTGCATTTTGACAAGCGGGGTTGCACCGAACAGCTCTCATTACTTAAACTCACGCAAAGCATGCAGGCAGTAATAGAACAAACCAACTATCATGAAAAAATAAGACATAGAAACTTCAAGTTCCTCCTCTCTGGAAAAAAAACCACAAACTCGGCTCAAATCTCACATAAAAAATGGAACGTTCTTAAGGAGTGTTTGTAAAAGAACAAAGGGACAGGTTTCCAGGCTGTCAGCTCCCGTCAAATTGCACAACTTCACCAACAACTGGGATCTTAAGAAAAGTATTTTCAATATATTCGGTTTGATTATGCCACCAATGTACAGATTTAGGAATGCTTTTTCACATTACCAGTGGAGTCACTGAATTCAAATCCCCTGTGCCAAGCAAGTACAAAGAATGCAAACTGGATGAACACATATACATTATAATAAATATACACACATTCAGCCACAGTAACACACGATTATTGCATGTGCAGGCCATTATTATTTTAACATATCACGGTAAAAAACAGTTTAGGTGGAGGTGCCTTACATCTCAAACAAACTATTCTGTATGTTTATCATCTCAAAATTGTCTCAACTATGTCTAGTTTAGTGTATGTATACATAGATCTATGAGTCCACATGTAGATATATATAGAATGTAGGAAAAATGTATTGAAGAGTGTGATATAGCATCTCTTAGGAAACCAACTGCCTTCTTCTTTCCTACGGTAATACCATTATTTCAAATTGTTATTACACAAACAAGAAAAATTGTAATCTAGAAAACAGAATTAATTTTCTTCTCCCATTCTACTGCCTAAAAACCAGCCCTTATTAATCGAGTAATTAGCAAGTAAAATGCCACAGGAGAAAGACAACTATTTCCCACCTTAAACCCTTTCACCAGCGTACCTCGTCTGACGACAGCGCTAAGGAGTGCGAGAAACCTGGGGCTTTGGGTTCTGCTCCTAAACCGCTCAGATCAGCTGAACTTGTGCTGCTGGGACTGAAATCGTCGTTGAACGTGAAATTCTGTGGGAAAAGAACCCAAAGAGATGAGTTAGAACGAACAGATGATCTCATGTGCTCATCTACAAAGGAAGTTTGCTTTCTGCCTTCCAGACTGGCATAGTCCAGGAGTGATTTCAATCATTTACCAAAGCAGTGACAGCACACACGAGCAAGTCTAATTTTTAGGAGTGCTAACATTTACAGAATACACAGTATTTTTACCACTGTGTATTATAAGAGACACCTTAATGCCTCAATGTATAGCAAAGGGGTCTGAAAGCAATTTCCAGACTCCTCCTTAAGATGCTGGCTCTCATCTCCTCCAGATATTTAGGACAAGCGTAGCACAGGCAGTAGCACAAAGAATAGGACAGAGGATTAATTAGCAAAGAAAAGTGAAATCTGCTATCGCAAGAGGAAGGAGAACATCCTGTGAATCCATTTCTGAGTCCCAAATAATCTCCCAGAAAAGTGAAAGGATCCTCCCTCTTTGCCTATACCTTTAGAAAAAGCTGAAAGTAAAAGTCATCTTTGGATATTGGATGTTACTTACTGAACTAACAACCATAAAACAAACGCTGCTTTTTTTTTTTCCCAACAATGCAATGACAGACATCACACTTTACAGCAAAGAACAGCAAAAGCGTGCACATATTCTCCAGGAATACAGCAAAATTATCATCAGAAGACAAAAATTCACAAGTATTTCACATCAGAGTCAGAACCATAAAAAACTGAAATCTGTAAAAAATTAAGGACACCATGGTACTCCATTTAACTTGCAGTTGATGATAAGGAGACCTCTAATCTCTACCTAATCTAACATCTAAATGAATATCAAATTCAATTTGCTTTGACACTCAGTGAAAAAAAAGGGATCCAAACATCAAAATCAACACTAAAAATGTTATCCTTTTACCTCCCTCAATGGTATTTGACCTATCTTTCCTGAAAACAAGAAGTCTTCCAAAAATATCAAGTGTCGTTCCTCTTACTTTTGCCAGAAATCCAACCGAATATTGGTATCACGCCGTGCTTTAGGAACTGTTAATTTAAGGGCTTGCAAATTTTACAGAGAACATCAAAATGTTTTTGTGAGCAGTTTTCTCACACCTACACTTAGAATTCTTGTTCTGCTTCCCCCAATTCTTTATAGAGGAGAAGAAAATCCAAGCAGCTTCTTTAATATGCAAACTTTAGCCCCCACAGCGTCCTGAGGCCAGGAGTTCAACAGCTCTACCTCCTGTCGTGTGAAGAACATTTTTTTACTTTTTAAAGTACTCTGCTCTTTCCTTCAGCTCTATTTTGTGCAAGCTCGAGCCTTATAATGAATTTCAGTCTTTAAAATTTAACTTTCTATAGGAAAAACACAACATGGCCACGGCCTGTTAATAATTATGACAGCAGGACAACCCCCACAAAGCTCAACCTAATACTAACTGTAAAAGGGGATGCTTTTTTCCCCATTTGAAAATGAGTTTAATACAAAGTTTGTTTAAAGGCACAAGCAGGCGTTACACACCTAATCCTCATCTTTCAAAAGAAACCAGGTAACCAACTAGTTTCTCTCTAATCTTCAGAGATTCCACCTGGGGTCTTCTCTACCAGTCAGATTTGGACCGGTCAGCCTTGTGTTGCTCAACCTACCAGGTACCACGAACACAGCTAGGACCTTGCCTAGCTTGGTGCTCAGCAGAATTAAGATATCGACAGCTTTTGGCACCAAGAAGTAAGAAATGCCCCAGGGAAACCGCTATCACGCACATGCACGTGTTTGCAGAAGACAGAGAAACTGGATTTCTGGTGCATATTCCTGTGGAGAACCGTATCTGCTCCTTTTTTACCAGACCAATGTAAAAAGTCAACGGCTACAAGTCATAAGGAGATACAGGCGGAGAAATATTTTCCAGAGGCGAAAATAAACATGAAAAAGCTAAGTATATTTTATAACTAGGGGTTATTTGAGGACTTATCATGCTGAAACATTCATGCACATAGAAAGAAATCACACAGATGTATTAAATCGCAGTAGTTCATATTTACAGTTCAAGCATCTTCATAGAGAGAATTAAATTCAACATTCAGCATGCATGACAAACAGGTTTTCATTATTGGGGGAAAAAAGGCAGATGACTGACGGCATACAGCGTTTCTTCACTTGCAAACACCTCATCTGAACACAGGAATCAGTCCTGAAGAATGCAGGAAACACCCACCATTGGGTACACAGATCTAGCATTTGTTCAGCGGATCCAAATGCTAATTTCCACTGGCACCGCTCGCTTTTGTTACGGTACGGCACACCACAGTTAGTTTACTGACTTAATGTACGTTAGGACAGAGTAAAAAGGTAGGAGGTGGAATGGTACAATGACAGAGATGTTCTGCTGGGATGAGCTGTTACCGTACAATGAACACCATGCACTGTTTATTGCAGTAGTCACATATTGGCCTGTTCTCTTCCCAGAAACACGAAGCCAATTATGCCACTCAACACAGCGGGAATAAGGTAGTTTTTATCTTCTACCTTCGACCCTTTTTTAGCTGGACTTATATTTTCAGAGGAAGGTTCGGTTGAGCTGGCAGGCGATGGCAGGTTGCTAGAAGAGTTGGATCCCTTGCCACTCTCCCCATACCATGTGAAGGGTACACAGTGTGGGAGAGAGGAGGATCGCTCTGCTAAAGATTTAGTGTTTGCTGATTTCTGCAGCATCTCTCTGGCGGTCCTGGTTAAGAGAAAGCAGCAGGGGTATGTGTTAGATTAGAAAATAAGAGAAAACAAAACGCTACAGTTCATCATAAGAAGAGTAACATTCCCTGTAACTAAAGAACCGAGCAGGTAGGGGCACATCTGAAATATCTCTTCCAGCAAAAAGAAAGAAAGGGGTTCTTTCGAGCCTTTTCCTGACTCCAGCTCTCTTTGACAATGTACACCCAGGAAGTGGAGTCAGATGTCAGCTGAAAAATGCCCGTATTCCCACCATTCAGATGGGAGTTTGGGGGAGTGCACAACCAGCTGAGCTGGTGGACTTCTGTGTCCCAGCACGGTTCCACAGACCGGGGTCAGCTCTGGTTCCCAGAGAAGGTCTGGCTTGGATTTCATGTACAAGCAGAGGTGCATCCGTATCCATCTATGGAGATGCTACAACAGCTAAATACTAGTAGAGTTATGACTATCTTGATTTTAAAATTATTAAATATTAAAAACATTACTACAGAAAAAAAGAAAGAGGCACCTATGTGATATTATCAGCTCCTCTCTTTGTAGTAACGAAGACTGCAGCTGGTAATGGGATCAAGGCAAAGGTAACGGTTACAAAATAAAATGCTTATTTGCTAAATGTTCATGTCAATGGTACAGTGCGTGAATTAAAAATAACGCAAAGCATCTGCCCCGAAGAACTTATGCCCATGTCATATTCTCGTATTATTTATATCAATCTATGTATTACTGTTTCAGACCATAAAACTTCTATTGGTCTCAGCAGGCACGAGCAAATTGCACGTATGCAAATCTCCCCTCAACTTCTACCTTCCGGACAACTTCTACCTCGTTAACGTGATCACCAGAGCTTTGGACACAGTGAAGCTTCTTTTCTGTATGGAGTAAACCGAAGCCGTCAAAGGGCCTTTACTCACAGAAGCAGAAGAATCCTCCCTCTAGCCACATACGGAAAGGCAGACCTATCTGACCCAGTCCTGTGCTCCTTCCTTACCCTCTGAACTTGCTTGAAAGGAGAAAGAAAAGGTGAATTTTTTGTTGCCTGAATCACTTAGCTTCAGGCAGGGTAATACTTGTTTCTAAATTAAATGGGGAATTTTTTTATATACCTATTGTATGGGTGGTAGTCTTAGGAAATAATTCAAGATTTTATTTACACAGTCGGGGTGTTATTCTTTTGGCAACAGCAAAATAATGCATGCAACATCCACCTGACAGCGTGATAAATTCTACATCAATCCGTCGCTGTAATGGACGTAATTATAACAGGATGCTGTCTTTTGATCGTCACCTTCCTTCTTTCAAAGAGCTCACACAGCTTTGGACTGTAGAGGAAACATCCTCACATTTCTCCTGAGGCAGATTCTTTGGAGTTAGTAACAACGGACGTGACAACGGGTGTTTAAAAAGTTATACTGAAATACTAACACTCCCATTTACAGAGGCACTCTGAGAATTACAAACGCTTATGAATCCTGACTTTGAGAGCAACATTAAACTTGCTCTTACAAACAAGTATGCATTCACTCCCCCCCTCTCTGGCGCGGTATTTAAATGCTATGTGATGTTTAAAACCCTGCTAAGGGCACAAACAGCTCCACAGAGGAGCAGAGAATTTGTTTTCGCGGGTCTGTCCCCGAGACCAGGGAAATCCAGCAGTGAGTAGCTCTAACTGCAGGTCACAGCCTGTTCACTGGAACAGGTTTCCTGATCCCAGCGCTGAGGTGACAACTGCTGCCTGAGATCACAGAGGATCCTGCCTGAATCTGGCAGGATACAAATGTGCAAATGCAGGCAGAGACAGAAGGCTGCACCTCGTGCCTCAGGCAGTAAGTCTGCAGTCAAAGGTTTCTTTAACTTTCCTGCACTACACGCTATACTTGTCACTGGGGCTCCACACATGACTGTCAGCAAAAACCCGCCAGCAGCTCCATACTGGTTTTCCTCCACAATGGTTTTCTGAGTAGCAGTCAGAGTTCGTTTTCCGCCAATGGCTCTTTTATCACGTAGGTTTTGATTTTTTTTTTTTTACGTGCAGAGAGTTTTTGAGCTGCTATATCCTTTCTAGACTTTAGGAATGTAGTCAGTTTGCTCAGCACTCCTGACATCAACGTGTCTTTCGTACCCGGAATGAGGCATCGCCCCTTGTGGCTGTGATCCTGTCAGACTCCTCAGCATGTGAGCAGAGCCCTTCGCTAAAAATCTACACTAGCTTTTGCAGAGAGGAGTGCTTCCTGCCATCCTGAAGGCTCATTTATTTATTCAGAGTGCAGCTGGTGGGGATGTGGTCTCATCAGACCTCGCGCAGCACGCACAGCTCCTTCCCTAAGAGGTGGCGACATGACAAATGCAGGCAGCATTTTTCCTTAGCTATTCTCAATTTACGGTGTTCATCTGCAGAAACAAACCTTCTGAAAGCATTCCTGGTGTGGCTGCCATGAAGCTGCAGTGAAAAGCTGTTGCCCACCCTTGCTCTTTTTTTTTTTCTCAAAAATCTGTGGAATTGTGTGAAGAGTTCTGATTCAGGGATGTTATTAACTGACTGCGTGCGCATCCTCTGGGCCAGCCCTGATAACCTATTTCTGCCAGTCCCATTAGTGGATGCAACAGCAGTAGCGATGACACAATATTAAAAGCCTCTAGGTATTTTTAGATTACATATTAGTCTTTCCTTAGTTAACAAATCTAGGTTTGTAAGCTCAGAAGGTTATTTCAAAGCTTAGACTTGTTTCTGCGACGTCAGTGGGACTGCTAATGTCCCCATCCGCTCGGGTGATGGGGTTTTGCCCGCGTTTAATTTCCTGCACCCTCCACCCTTCACTCGTACCTGCTGCCGCAGGTCACCCTAAGAGCTTCTTTCTCTTTCCGCTTCTTGCCCTTGTTCGAACTCCTTCTCAAGGGAGCCCTACAAGAATGATCAGAAAACATCAGGAAACATTTCTGAAATTTTGCTTTCAATCCTTTTAAATGAAAAAGAAAGTAAGTATTTTAAACAACAAAATGCTTACCCGAGATCTGCAAGTTTTCGCTTTAGTTTTTCTGTATGCCCTACACTAGGGCTAGTTGTCCTTGCTGCCTGAGCACATGTGGCACCATCTAGGACACATTTGTACACGGAAGAATGTACATTATTATTTTTAATTGCTACTGATAGCTATTCCACTTCTCATCCAGAACAGTCTGTGTATCTTTTCACAACTACATAGGCATACATGTACGTGTGTGTGAGTAAACAGTTTAATTAGGTGAATTCTTCTCATTTTTATGAAGATAGCGTGGAATAAAAATAAATAAATACTTCCTCAATTTGAAAATACACATAAAGAAACCTTATTTGAAGAAAAATCATAAGTGAATTTTGGTTGAGTTTTAATGAATGTGTAGTAAGTCAAACAACACCAAAAATTTACAGGCAAACATTACAGTGAGAGCATTTTTAAAGTAGCTGCTTAATTTTCCTTTTACAGAATAATTTTGGTAGGCATGCTTTACTTCCAAAGTGACTCCTGAAATACTTCCTTGGACTTCGGAGCCAAGGGTATATGATGGACACGCTATGTAACAGTCACCCCTTTAGCTTGAACATCCCTGTTAAAATTAACATTTAACCCAAATTCCAACCATTCTGAATTAAAAACGTAAATAATTATAAGTAGCTTAGTTAATGCATTTGCCCAAGTTTTCATGTCTCCTACACACGCTGCCAAAGCCTAAGGAGGAAACAGCCTGCAGTACCTATAAAGCCAAAACAATGGGTCTGAGTCTGCAAAACATCCTGTGAATTCTATATGGAAGCTAAAAGAAAACAAAACAGCGGCTGAAAAATTCAGACACAGCTTCTGTGATTCTTAAAAGTAAAGAGTGTCATTCAGGTCACCTGCAGCTGGGTGACTTTTACAGCGTGCCTCAGATGTCCAGGGACTGTTAACTGAAAGCACTACTGGCTTTGGGGATACTACTTGGCCAAGTTTTCCTTCAAATGAAAAGTTCCGTGCGCAACTGGTTCACAGATCCTGCGAAAAGCAGGGGAAAAGAAAGCCCCTTGCAACAACCACGCTCTAAAAGCCATACGTACGATTTCTACCAACATGAGTCCTTATATTAAAAAAAATAAATCAAGAACAACTGACAAGTAACATGTCAAAAAAAGGAAACAAAACCAAAGTAGTAAGAGAAACAACAGCAAGGTGAAGTCTCCTGAGAAGAAATCCATTCCCCGGGCAGGCGGAGGAGAGCTTTAGGCAACGCTTTGCATCACCTCTACCCTGTGCACGCTTCTCTCCTGTCTCCTCTCACAGCTCCTCTTTCACCTTTAACGCATCCTTCTCGTGCAACCGCTCTCCAAATTGTCACTTCAAGAATAGAAGTCACAGCGTGGTTTTTCACCAGCTATTGACAGGCAGGTGGGGCTCAGGGGCCAGGGAGCGGTTTTTAACTTCTTAATGAGAGTAAATACCGAAAGCATTTAGTAGCTGGAGGTTTTTTGTGGTTGTAGTAGAAGATATAACCCAGAGAGCTCAGCAGGACAGTGTAGCATCTACCTGGTACAGCAAATTGCTGTCTGGGCTTTTCTATCACCCACATGCCATTTGGGTGAGTCAGAAGCCTCTGAATTCCATCCTGAACGATTCTATGATTCTATGAATAATGACCTGGCTACGGGATCCAGCGGGAGATGGACTACCTGAACTAGCTCCAGTGGCAGGGGGGGGGGGGGGCCTACCGGGGCCCGACCAAGGGGGG